CAGGTTGCAAGATGGTTTTAAGGAGCACGGATCTTTTCCCTTAGCAGAGAAACGGCTGATAAACTGCAGCAGAACCTCTTCACACCAGCTCTCAAAGGCAGAACTTCTTCCCTGGAAGCCCCTTATGTGGCATGAAATAGTCTATCTGTTCTTCCAAGAGCAGATTTCTCTTTCCAAGAGCAGATTTCTCTTTCCAAGAGCTTTGCTCTTCAACACCTCCTTCAAGTGCGTATCTACAGCTCCTCATTTTTATGCAAGTGTCCTAGGTGCTGTGCCACCACTATTCCAGCACGGGCAGCAGGAAGAGAGGGAATGTGCCTAGGAGCTATTCCTGAAGCAAAAAACATCCCCTTAAACACTTCCAAGACAGCCAGTTAAAGCTCTAAGCAGCTTTCTACACAACCACTCGAGTGCATAAGCAGTGTACAGCTCTTTACGTAGCAGGAAGAGGTTACGATAACTCTGTACCTTTAAAGAGTAATAATTTCAGGCTAATTATCTTAAATTACTTCGGCTCAGGTGCCCTGCAGCAGCACCATGCTTACCCTCCACCTGCTCCCCACGACTCACCAGTACCACCATGGAATCTTCTGCAGGAGCACACTGAATATTGGCAGGGGGGGACAAAAAAAGAGGAACGTAATTCCTGGTCTCTTTGGAGCCACGGTGCCTCTCTTCAAACACCATCTCGGATCTACCCAGTCTATCCCTTGCCAAGGGGAGCTTAGCTGCTCCAAACCAGCATCTTCTCTGGCTGAACAGGGACAGGTCAACTCTTCACCCAGCGTATCGCCCAGCCCTGGCACCAGAACTGCAGCTCTCGGGGCTCGTGCCTCAAACTGTGCCCCCCCTAAATCACAGGCAGCATTTATGCTCTGCCACAGCAGCCTGAAAGGGTTAAAAGTGTGTGCTGCGACCCATAACTGGTTCTCCTGTTGTTACCAGGGCCTCTGATCTTCCAGTACGCAGGAGAAATTCTTCAGAATGCAGAGAAGATGGTCTTTGGAAAGGGAAAAGGGGTCACAACTGAGAGCAGGCTGAGAAAGCTCTAGAGAAGAGACTCACACGTGGAAAAAGCACGTGGAAAAAGAGTGGGAATAACACAAAAATGCATGTCTACACCTGCTCTGGAATAGCTCCCGAAGTTCCAGCCCTCTGCTAAACCCCACGGGAGAACAAACCGTACCTGCTGGCATGAAGAACTGCCAACCGGCCCGTTCATCTGCTCGTAGAATCTTCTCTCGGCATCGTCGTACTTGTACTTCTCAAACCAGATCTTCTCGTGCGTGAAGTAGTCAACTGCCATTTTTCTGCAGAAAGGGAGAAAAAAACAAAACAAAAACAAAAACAAACACAAACAAAACACCAAAGTGAATTCCTAGAAGTGAAGTTCGCAGCTCACGATAAGCTTGAAGAGCATTTTCTTCCCCCGTAGAGCCGTGCCTCCAGCTCTCTGCTCACCAGTTTCCCCTCTGGTGGAAAGCTTTAGGTAACTGGGATCCTATTAAGAAAGCAGGACAGTCTAATCACCCACCCATCTGCCCCTCCTGACCTGCGTTCAGTGCCAGGGCACCAAGTAGGGACAGAATAAACCATCTGATCCGTACCTTTTTCCACACAAAAAAAAAAAGCTTTTGGAGCAGGATTTTCTACATCGCGCCAGACACACGGGAATCTGCTGCGGAGAAAGATGTCTTGTCCATGAGAATCAAAAAGGGAATAATGTTTTTAATTCCTCAGACCCCTGACCGCGGTGAAACCAAAGATGTGCCGCGCTACGGAGGGCGCTCCGTAGGCGCCAGGCAGCTGCTGATGCCACAGCTCCCAAATTTCAACGTGGTTCAGTCTTCCTTGACCACAACTCAACAAGCAACCGTTGACCGATTTAGGTTTCTACACGCCCCTACTCGGTCACGCCATGCTTCACTAGGTGCACCACCAAATTCTCCTGGAAAGAACAGCCCCGGTACAACCCAACGCCAACCAGTCTCCAGGAAAATCCACCTACAGTTGCAATTTCCAGCGGCGCCACAGCTTCATGTGCCCTTTTGGAAGCTGCTGCAACTGTGAGGGACGGACACCCGTCCACTGTAAGGAGGAACAGAAAAAACCATCCCGCTGCTGCTGTGAAACAGGGAACGTTGGTCTTCTTCAGCGCAGCAGCTTCCAAAAGTTGTGTCATTTCTTAACTGGAAGGCAAACGATGGAGCCCTGGCACAAGCAGGAGAAGAAGATGTGCCAGGGGACAACCACCAGCACCAAGATCGGTTGGAGGAGGTGGTGAGAGTAGGAACAGAGCGTCACGACGAAACTGCACCACTACCAGGTTCTACCACACCCCGCAACCTCTGTCGTCCTCAGCCCCAACCCCCACAGGTCACCAGTAAAACTACTCCATGGAAGCCAACATGAAGCATGCACCCTCCCCACGGACCCATTCAGAAGAGATCAGAGGCCACCACGCCATCCAAGTCCTCTACACCAAAGCCATCCCCCGCACTCAACCCTCCAAGACCCTGCATGAGCTGCCAACCAGTACAATGAACAGAGAATCCCAGTTACAGACAAACTCGTGCCACGTATTTCACAATGACACCTCTTGGGGAAGGGTGAGAGGCATGACCAAACATCTAGTTCTATCCAACTAAAGTGAAAGTTATCCCAAATAGGAGAGAGTGAAAGGCATGTGTACTCCAAAGCTTGCCTGCCCCTCCCTGTGTCACTCGACAGAAAGATCTTAAGATCTTCCCAACAAATCTTAAGAAACTCAAGGATCAAAAGTACACTGCGTCCTCTGCTGTCTCAGCAGGTCTGTTTAAAACGTGCCATTTTCTCCAACTTCTCACTTTTCTGGGTTTTTGTACATAATAGGAACATAGAAAGGGGCACGGCCTCGGGCTTTCCCCATGTGAAGAAGGGATCAAACCTTTCTTCACTTTACATGCCCAACCTCTGGCACCACACAAGTACTGCTTTTAGCCAGCAGCATTCATAGAATGGTTTGGGTTGGAAGGGACCTCAAAGATCATCTAGTTCCAACCTCCCTGCCATGGGCAGGGACACCTTCCACTACACCCGGTTGCTCAAAACCTCCTCCAACCTCCTCCAACCTCCTCCAACCTCCTCCAACTCATCAGGAGAAGGGGGTTCGCTGAAGGAGTTTCCCACCCAGTTACCCTGCCCACCAACAGGCTCCCTGGCTCGGGAGCAGTGTCTCCCTACAGCTGTATGCCCACTGGGTCCTGCAGACACAAAAGGACTCCCATCTTCTACACATGCAAACTCTTTCAGCTCAATCCTGACCCAACGGTTTTGCATGTGTTACCCCAGAAGAAACTTCTCCTACTTCGTTTCTGGCGCAGGTTCACTTGAAGGATAAGCAGCTGGTGGAGAGGGTGTCACTACGGTGGATTCCTGCGTTCCCGTGCCCTCTCCTGCTTTTGACATCTTCAGAGCCTCGGCCGCGTAGTATCGTGACTCGGCACGGTCGTACGTCGGCTTGTTAAGCCACACAGTTTCACTGTCCTTGTGCAGAAAAAAGCAGGTAGGTGGAGGTTGCTCGGCATCGCTGGGAAGCAGAGAGCTGGTGGTGGCCTCCACGCGCTCAACGCCCACTTGCTTTCCAACGGTGTGGTTCTTCCCGTCCTCCTGGTGGTTCTTCGCTGCTTCGGGGCAGCCACGTTGCTGCTGTCTGGCTTTGTCTGACAGATGGCCATCAAGCATGTTCTCGTAGAAGCTCTTCTCAGCGTCATCGTAGAGAGGTTTCTCCAGCCACACCTCTGACATGAGGGCCTGCAAGCTCGAAAGCTGTGGCTTACCGTTCTGGTGCGTGGAGCCAGGCGAACTGGTAACGAAGGAAGCGGCAGAATCAGAGATGACAGCTGGAGCTACGCTTGGTGTGGCAGGAGTGGGCAGGGCTGTGACGTAGCCCTCATCCGGTGTTCCCAGCCCAACGTTGCCAGCGTTCGACCACGCAGACGGGATGGTCAGGACATTCGGAGGAACAAAGAATTGAGATTTTTCAACAAACGTCTCCTCGGCCTTATCAAAGTCAACCTTGTTGACCCAGACACCCTGAACAACATGGTGACAAGCCAACAGACTGCCATGGGAGCAGGGTGGGGCTGCTGAAACCATCCTTGGCTTGGGAACATCTTGCACAGCTTTTGAGCTGGCCACCGACAGGGACTGCTCAGCCGTCGGCGTGGTCTCCGCTGCCTCCTGGTTCTGCCAATCCACCAGTTTTTGCCTGTACAGGTCCTCGGCGCGATCGTAGAAAGGCTTCTCAAACCACACGCCATCGGCCAACAAACCAGCCAAAACCCAGTCTAACTTGGAGGCCACGGGTTTGGGTTTTGGAGAACGCTTCCGTTTCCTTTGTTTCTTTCCATTCCTCGCTCTCTTCAGGTCTCCCTTGAGTTCGCTTTCAACGGAGTCGTCGTTGCAGACCCCGTTCACAGCCTCCACCTCCTGGCCCTCCGCGGGGGCCGCGGCGGCGAGTGCACCTTCTCTTTCGTCATGCTGCCTCTCCGCTTCGTCATCCTTGTGCTTGTCCACCCATCCTTTTTCCACCGGGCAGGGAGGCTTCCTTGTCCTCATCTTCCAAAAAGCGGCAGCATTAAGAGATAAGCACAACAAGGGAGTTGCAGCACAACTAAACAAAGCAAGGGCATGCAGCAGACGTTAGGAATTTCTTATGGAACACAAAGGTATCATGCCACTACTATTCACGACAAAGAGCTCAAGCATTTTGTTCCCTTTTTTTTGGTTCCATTTTTCCTCTGTTACAAATTTTCCTTCAAATAAACAACACTGCTTAAACACATCCAGTTTCTGAAGTCGTAAAATTGACCAAGAGCTGGAGATCTCACGATTAATTTAGCCTATAAAAAAAATAATCTTCTAGTGAAATGAAAAATCTTGCGTCTACTTTGTGTTTTCCTGCCTTAGCCACACCTTACTAGGAAAATAAAAAAATAAATCAGGCAGAAATATCCTCCAGACTTCAGCTGATGGCTTGTAGTTCCAACCAGTTTCTGGTTTACGAGCCTCAAGTGCAGAGCTTGCCAGATCAGTAAAAACAAAAAACTTATTACAAGTAAAGTGTAAAAAATTACACTTTTGCCTTTTAAAACTTTCAATTTAAATGTATATAAAGTATTAAAGCAATGTAATGCTATATTGCAATGCTAAAAATTACTACAAAAAGCACAAGTAGACCCGTAATTCCAAGTAAGCACTTTTGCCTTTTTAAACTTCCAATTTAAATTTATATAGTTTAAAGTATTAAAGCAATGTTAATACTATACTTCAATGCTAAAAATTCCTAGGAAAAGCAAAAGTAGGTCTTTTTTTTTTGTTGGAGTCATGAACCAGCTGCTGAACACACTGTGACACAGCTGAGAACATTTTAAAAATCTAAACTTCAACTTATTTTGAAGCCTTTATTTCACTTCGCACTCTTCTCTTGCATTTTACACCAGTTATGGAGCAATAAAACACCAGAAACAAACCAGTGCTTCCAATAAACATTAACCTACTCGTTACCATCAACACCAAAACCACCCCAGCTGGAAGCAAACGCATTGTAGGGCAGGAGCAAGCAGTAACTCAGGTTTACTCCTCTGTTACTACAGCTTCCACGGCGTTATCGAGCAGTGAAATCGACACCGTGTACGTCTCGGGGAGCGAGGTGCTACTAAAGAGGCTGCACAAGTTATTTTGAGGTGTAAGGATACGTTCCTGGTGTAAAAAAAACACACTGGGGCAGCCTCATACTGCTGATTGTCACAGCTGCTGGGGAAATAATTGAAGATATTTTTATATTCTTACATGGCCAATAGCATTCCCCTTAAAAAAAAATCTCTTTGCAGGAGGTGTGGATTTAAATGGGATTTTAAATGGGATTTTCAGAGGGTACATCAGGCTGGAGAAGGATCAAACGATGCAAATTAAAATTTGTGGAGCACAAAGGCACCGCTTTGCAGCGTACATGTTCGACAGGAACGGCCATCCGGATCCAGCGTAGCCACCGGGCAGCACGAAACCGCCGGGAAAAGCAAAATGCCCAGCTGAAATGGCATAGTGGGACAAGATATTTGGATTTTTGGGTTACTCAGGTCGATACAGACTCCGAAACAGCACCTGGATTTCTGCTCTTGCCTGGCATGCTCTGCTTGGCTCTACATTCGCGTTCCTTTGAGTCATCCCAAGGGAAAAATCCGAGTCTGCAGCCTTCGAGGAGATCTTTTATGGAGAAAACTTCATTAACCCAGAGCAAGGGCGTTTATACTCAGAGTTTACAACTTCAAATTACTTCAGGACGAATCTCTAGTGGGTGCAACAAGAAACTCGGACATGACTCAGCACAGCTCGAACTGTCACACCTTTAAATATTTAATTTGCATTCCAGCTATTAACATATCGAACGAGTGTGCTCATTTGACAAAAACAATTAAATTGGGGGGGGGTAATTTATTTTTTTTTTAATTAGAGGTGATTTTGCTCAAGTCCAGCAGCTTCAAGCACTGGAGTTGCAGTCGCTCCTCTCAAGGGCGAGGTGCATTACGGAGGACTCCAATCATCAGGAGGTTTCTCCCAATTCCAAGAGCTGTCTTGAATCAAAGCTGACCCCACTGAATTTCATCAATAAACCTGGAAAGATAACCCTTATTTCCAGTGGAAACCAAAACTGTGCAATAATCTGTCTAGGAAGAAGTATCAGCTCAGCGCCTACATTGCTCTGATTTTCCAGAAATTGCAAAATTTCAAAAAAAAGCAAAAAAAAACCCCACGCGACAACTCAAGAGTACTTACTTTTTCAGCTCCTGTGACAGCATTAAGAAAAAAAATGAAGTTAGAGAAAGTTTTTCACATTCCAGAGCTGCAGCGGCGAGGACAGAGCAACCGAAGCCAAATGTATTATTACATAATTAATTCCCCCCATAAATAATACATTTAATTAATCTTACAGCTGGTTTCCTTTCCAGAACCACATTATCTTCACGAACCAACTGGTTCCAAACGGCGACGCTCAGAACCCCCAGTTTCAGGGAACTAAACCCCAACAGCAAATTCTTCCAAGAATTCTGAAAATGTCACGATTACAACATCACAGAATGAATTCACCTGACTGTAGGTATTTCCACCAGAAGTCAGCTCTCTGTACAACACCCTGGGAATGAGGTGGAAATAAAACCCCAGTGCCAACGCTCAGCCTACTGATTTTTCAGGAAAAACATCAACGTGACGCGTGAAAGCTTGTGGTGGCACTTGCAGCACCTATTTGGTTCCGTGAGGGACCAACCCTTAGGTTGAGTTACGATAAAGACCAGATTTTCAATGAAATAAAGTTTATAAACGCAAGGAAAAATTGGAAAAAAAAGTCATTTCTGCCCTGTGTTCCTAAGTTTTCCGAGAGGAACCTGGGAAAAGGTATACACAAGGATTTTACTCACACAAACCATCACCTGAGCTGGTGTGGACAGCCTGATGAGAGCTCTGAGCTGCAGATCACGAAAACCAGACCACAGCACTACCACCAGTTCTCCCAGTACACAAACTCCCTCCAGACAAGACACAAGCTCCCAGTTCAGCTTCAGCCAAGTCTGCCAAGTACTGCACGGAACCTAGAGTTGAATTCGAGAGCCCACCTTGAAGCGAAGGAAGGTGATGTGAAGAAGGTCCCTCCCTCAAACCACTTCTGAGACCACGTTCATCCGCTGCCCAGGAACGTTTTTCAGAAGTGAAGCTGGTTTTCATTCAATTAGCACTTTTTGAACCACAAAGATAAACTACCACTTTGAGACAGAGGCAGCAAACTTGATAAAAAGTGTTTGAGAACGACAAATGTGTGAGTGGAGGAGAAAAACCTCCCAAGAGCTCCTACTGCACGCCCCAGAGGCTGGCTCCTGTCTACCCAGGACAATTTTGCTTTTCCAGTGACAGTGCAGACAATCCATCAGGTGTGGCATAAAGCCACTGGAAAGGCAAATGGTCTTATTCATTTTTATCAAGGCCAAATAACCAAATGCTCCTAAGTAACAACAAAAAAAAAAACAAAATCACAGGTCAACGTTTAGGCCTCCCATGGACTATTAAAGAGGGCTTAAAAAAAATTGGGAAGAATTTTTAATCATAGCTACTGCTCCAGAGCTTTGGGCTTGGTCTTGTCACCACATCCCAGGTATTTCAAGCCAGAACAAATCTGTTTTGGACTTCCAGCACTGCAGGGAAAGGCATAAAGTTAAAAATAGGCATTGAAAAGGTCTCTGTTGTTCTGGAAATCCCAAAGAAGCTCTGGACTTCGGCTGTTTGGCTGCATTATCCCCCTGAGTCTAGCTACTTTTGAAAAACAAAAGTGGTACAATACATTACCCTGGGGCTGTAGCCAAAAAAAGAAAGTGAAGTCATTTCTTTCTCTTCTGTCCACCACAAAGTTACATTCCTCCTCAACTGAGAGGCCTATAAAATAAATGTGGGTTTTTTTGGAGGGGAGTCAGGTTATAAGTAAGTTTGCCACAGCCCCACAGAGACCTAAATTCCACCAGATACCACAATTTCTTGCACTAGAAGTGATCTGTGATTTTAATTTCAGCTGACCTGGCAGCTCCCAACAGGGCACAGCGAGTCGGGCAGTGCCAGGATTTGAAAGCAGCTCTCCCAGAAATAATTTGGGTTTGATGTGGCTTAAAAATTTGCAAGAGCCTTGAAAAGTCTCTTTAGATGAGCGAGCACAGCAGATCCCATCCGTCCCTGACTTCTGGAGGGATGTGACAGCTACTTTCTGCAAACCATAACCAAGAGGGCGAAATGACAGTTACAGTTCAGCTCCTTCCTTCAGGGGAGACACCAAAAACGGACATTAGGGGACATGGAATGGTGGAGACACGGAGTAGTTGGACCCTAAAAACACCCCGTGGACACAGCCCCAAAAGTTAGGCAGGATAGTCCTGATTTCCGCAGGAAATCCAGGCAGCACTCAAGCCAACATCGGTCACTCTTCCCCCAGGCCAGCACTGACGGGTTCTCACTACAGGAGATTCACTCATTCCAGCAGCGACCAGAAAAAATAAATACCAGAAAACCCAGAAAGAGCCCATTTGATGTCAGAGCAGAGAGAGGAGGAGGAAGGTCCACGGGGCATCAGTCTGTTCCCTTCTACAGCCTCAGACTGGCACCTGGGCTATGCCACTCAGACACCTGCGCTGCTCACATCTTCCTATTGAAATGCTGCTGCTCTTCCCCTGCCCCACCTCTTGCTTTTTTTTTTTTCTTTTTGGTGATTCAGAGTTAAAAGAATCGAGACTGATCTCACAGCAGAGGGTCTGACGGCCTCCTGCAGCTCAAGGGAGCAAATCCACCCCCTCAACACCGGCTCTGGGTCAATACAGGCAGCTGAAGTAAAGAAAATATTAATGCTTGTGTGGAATTGCTCTTGTGCTGGTTTAATTCCCTAAAATCGGCTCCCCTCCAGCTCATGAGCAGCAGGACCAGCAACTCAAAGCAGCAGGACAAGGAGGCAGCAGAGAGAACCACCTTCATCATCTTCACTATAACAGCAGCCTCCCTAAAATCGGCTCCCCACCAGCTCATGAGCA